TGATCATTCAAATCTACAAATCAACCATTCTACCTTGCATGCAGTATTGCTGCCATATATGGTCTGGAGCCCCTTCTGTTTGCCTAGGGGTTCTTGATAAAATCCAAAGATGAATATACAATGTAATTGGCCCTGATCTGGCATCTCGTCTGCAGTCGCTCTCTCACAGATGTGCCGTTGCATCCCTCTGCCTTTTTTACAAATACTTTCATGGTAACAGCTCCAATGAGCTGCTTTCACTGGTTCCCAGACTTCATGAATTTAAGCACTCAACTAGGCTGGCATCTCGCTCTCACCCTTTCACTGTCAAAACTGTTAAATGTAGCCCTCTCTTCTACTCCAATAGCTTCATATCTCACACCTCTCGCCTGTGGAACTCCCTCTCCATTTCTTGTTTTCCTGATAACTATAATCTCCAACTATTCAAATGTAACATCAATCGACATCTCCAGGTGCCCTGATCTATCCCCTAACCGTCTCTTCATCCTTTCCTCTATCACTCCTTTTTGTTCTCACTCCTACTCTGAAACCCTTTGCATCCTAGTGGCTTCCCGCCTTGGAGTTGAATGCTTAAAAAAAGCTATAGAAAACAAAAAGTGATTTTCTCCAATGTGAATTCTGACAGAAGTTTTTAGAAGATACTGAGAAAAACCCTTGCCACATACTTCACAATGAAATACTATCTCTTCAGTAAGTGTTGTCATGTACCTTTTCATATCACTGTTTCACATGGAAATGGAGTCTCCCCATTTTGATCACAGAAGGTTTTACTCATCAAAGTAATCAAAAATTGTAATAATCAAGGTCAGGTGAATATGGCAGATAGGGTAAAACAGACCAACCAAGTTCCAAAACATTTCATGGTGTTATTCTTACAGCTTTGTGTTGACATGGAGGAAAACACTTTCTCTTTAATCTACTGTGTACATTACTGATCAAAAACTATGGTATATTAGTGTACTTCAAATTTGTTCTTAACTGTCATGTACAATTATTTGTCATTATAACTTGTTCCCCAAAACGGAAATTACTTATGACTCAACCCAATAAATTTATAACATACAATTATTACTATTGTCATCAGCTTTGTCATTTGTAGTTTTTAAGGAACGCTTTTTGAATTAATAAGTATAAATTCCCAGTGAAATAAACTATTCAAAATCTATTCAAAACAAAGAATTCTCTTGCTGACAGTGTTGATTGTTTTTCAATTATATTTGGTAAAATTATAGCAGACAAGCACATCAAAGACATGGTGATAAAAAATATCTAAAATATAATTTTTGAGATGAGGAATTATTGTTATTATAAGCTTTGCAGTCTCATCTTGATGGTTATACTCAGGTTTCAGCTATTGTAATCTCAAGCCTTCTTCAGGTATCAGTTTTTGTACTTGACAACTATTTTGGAATTTTGAACAAAGCCCTTTCTTCAATCCATGTGTATGGAAATAGTGAAAGGTCATATGCATCACTTGAATGGACAAGTGAGACAAAAGTTAATAAGACTGGTGAGTATTAACTGATATGATTTATCTCCCTTGATTAAGGAAAGGGGAATAAGAGCAGTCTACCTACATGGACTGAACAAAGTGTTCGGGTTGAAATTCCAAGAAAGCTATTGGGTGCTACAGCTGAAAAATAATGTAGATATCTGAAAGTGAGATTCCTTGTTTGATATCAGGCTGAAAATTTAATTCCCAACTTTCAAGAATAATTTTATTCTGCAATTGTTTCTCTAATAAAAAGGGAAGATGATGTAACATTTACTTAAAAGAATAAGATTAGCAACCCTTCAGTTTCTTCAAGACTTGAAAACTTTCAAGAATTCAACATCTTTCTTGCAATCCTTGAACTTAAAATTGACAAATTAAGTATCCTCTTTTTTTTTTAAACTAAGATTTACCTTCAAGATATACCTCAGTGGAGTGGTTTTCAGTTGTCACAGATTTCAGTGGTGTGATGCCATATTCTTTCAGGAAGTAGATAATCATGGCTCTCCACAGTTACCTTTTTCTTTATTAGCTGTGTGATGCCATGCATTCTTAGGAAAGATAGTGGAGAGGTTTCCTTCTCCACACTTTTTAATTCCGAGTAGTCATCTATGCCATGTCCCTTCAGGATGTAGGTGATCATGGCTCTCCACAGGTTCCTTTTTCTTTATTATCTGTGAATTGCCATCACGTCTTGGGAAAGATAGTGGTGTGGTTTTCCTTTGCCTTCTCCATGGTTTTGAATTCAGAGTAATCATCTATGCCATGTCCCTTCAGGATGTAGGTGATCATGGCTCTCCACAGATTCCTTTTTCTTTATTATCTGTGAATTGCCATGACTTCTTGGGAAAGATAGTGGAGTAGTTTCTCTTTGCCTTCTCCATGATTTTGAATTCAGAGTAGTCATCTATGCAATGTCCCTTCAGGATGTAGGTGATCATGGCTCTCCACAGTTTCCTTTTTCTTTATTATCTGTGAATTGCCATGACTTCTTGGGAAAGATAGTGGAGTTGTTTCCCTTTGCCTTCTCCATGGTTTTGAATTCAGAGTAGTCATCTATGCCATGTCCCTTCAGGATGAAGGTGATCATGGCTCTCCACAGATTCCTTTTTCTTTATTATCTGTGAATTGCCATGACTTCTTGGGAAAGATAGTGGAGTAGTTTCCCTTTGCCTTCTCCATGGTTTTGAATTCAGAGTAGTCATCTATGCCATGTCCCTTCAGGATGTAGGTGATCATAGCTCTCACAGTTTTTTTTCTTTATTATCTGTGAATTGCCATGACTTCTTGGGAAAGATAGTGGAGTAGTTTCCTTTGCCTTCTCCATGGTTTTGAATTCAGAGTAGTCATCTATGCCATGTCCCTTCAGGATGTAGGTGATCATGGCTCTCCACAGATTCCTTTTTTCTTTATTATCTGTGAATTGCCATGACTTCTTGGGAAAGATAGTGGAGTAGTTTTCTTGCCTTCTCCATGATTTTGAATTCAGAGTAGTCATCTATGCCATGTCCCTTCAGGATGTAGGTGATCATGGCTCTCCACAGATTCCTTTTTCTTTATTATCTGTGAATTGCCATGACTTCTTGGGAAAGATAGTGGAGTAGTTTCCCTTTGCCTTCTCCATGGTTTTGAATTCAGAGTAGGTGATCATGGCTTGAGGGGACACAGCATATAGATGAAGACTGAACCTAATTGAATATCTGTGGATTTTTTTTTTCACTGGAATTAAGTAGTTATATTTTTAAATAATTATATATATATATATATATATATATATATATATATATATATATATATATATGCTCCTGAAAGATTTATTTTGGTTGAGCTCTCTGAGGAGGAAGTGTGGGTTTGTAAACAGTGACTATCACGGCTAATAATGCAAGACTCTTTGGTAAATCGAATCATGTTCTCTCAGTCACTGTGTGTTTATCTAAAAATAAATATGCTTAAATTCATCTTCATACCTGCCGTGCGCAAACAGCTTAGTAGTAGAATCCCCAACTGATGCCAATTTAGTCGGGTTTTGATCCTAGCTGGAGGCCACCGGACGTCTAGCCACACTGATGAGCCATAATACAGTGAAACAGTCTGTCTGTGGATGACTATATATATATATATATATATATATATATATATATATATATATATATATATGTATGTGTGTATTTTAAAATTTGTGTATTTAGGCAGCAAATTCTCTTTTAAGCATGTCTGATTGTACTTGGGAAATGAAAATAAAAGAAAATTAAACAGTGATAGCACATTTCTCTCATCCTGTAATATCAATACACGGAAAAAAAAAATTAGCAGATATAATGTCTGTAATTTATTCAATCAGACATGCCTAAAAGAGAATTTGCTGAATAAATAAATATATATATATATATATATATATATATATATATATATATATATATATATATATATATATTAACATACACTGACCAGGGGTGATATCACTGTTTTGGTGGCCATGGCAGGATTGCCACTGCTGCTGGCGCCACCAGCAGCGTTTGCCACCAGGCATATATATATATATATATATATATATATATATATATATATATATATATATATATATATACAATATATATAATATTTATATATATATATATATATATATATATATATATATATATATATATATGCTCCTCTGAAAGATTATTTCGGCTGAGCTCTCGGGGGAGAAAGTGTGCGTTTGTAAACACTGACTACTACTGCTAATAATGCAATACTCTTCAATAAAACGATATATATATATATATATATATATATATATATATATATATAAGTGAACATTGAAGTGAACACTCAGAGGTGACAGGCTTTTTCATGTTGCAGCTGTAATAAAGAAGTAAGTACAGACGCATACTTTATCTTCACGTAAACCATGGGACTGTCATAAAAAGAGTGAAACAATTACGATGAACATCTTGAAAATATCACATTCATCATTCCATGAATACACGGAGAAAATTCCTACAATATTAAATCATTTGAATAAATTTTGCTTGTTTCTATTTTAAGACGTTGTATCCATCTTTTTGCTTGATCATTGATGCTGATATTTTTTTATGTTTTGTTATGTTTGGTTTTTTTTTTGGGGGGGGATTCCAGAAGTGTCACTATTCCACTTTCCTCTTATGAACGACCGTGTGGGATCTTAACTCGCTCAAATAATCAAATAGGCAAATAAGCTCTTTACACTCTCGATAATCCCCCCAAAATTCCAAGTGCCTGCATTTTAAGGCATGACAAAAACATGTCTTACTTCTGGCAATCCTTGAGATTTGATAGCGAAAAAGAGTAGAACAGGAAGCATTTAGACAAACTATTTTCCCTTAACTAGGGATGGAGAGTTGTGTAGAGCCGTGATAGCCCACGTCCTGAAGAGACACGGCACATAAAAAAAAGAACTTATTGTCTAAAACAGCGCTTCTTAAATTTTTTTCATTCATGACCCCATTTTTGATGAGATTTTTTGCGACCCCCAGGTATTAACCAACTACATTGAAAATACATCCGTTATCACTGTTCTCATCGCACCGGCGTCACACGGGCGTTTTATTACCACAGCGCATGCGTGGCGTATCATGCTAAATATTGGGGGCGTTTGTGAAACGAAAGAAACTGAAATTCAAGGGTTTGAATGTCATTTTCACGACCCCAGCATTTCGCTTCACCACCCCATTTGGGGTCGCGACCCATAATTTAAGAAGTGCTGGTCTAGAGTCTAGACTAGCGGACGGCAACCCTCGTCCCTCGGGCCACATCCGGCCCGCGAAGGATTTTTTTGCCCGGCATGCCAACTTAAACACCTGGACGCTAATTATCCACTTAAATTTGTGAAGCAACTGGCAGAAAAAATATCAGTTGAACTTAATGGGACGAAATTTTTTATTAAAATTTCGTTCCACTGCTGATTTCTACAAGAAATATGTTTTGCCAAGGGAAAAATATAAAAGTCTATTTCATAATTCGAAAATGATGATATCATTATTTGGAAGTACATGGGCTTGTGAAGAACTTTCTTCAAAAATGAAGTAGACCAAAAGTCGTTTAAGAACGAGGTTCAGGGATGACCACATGGATTATGTTTTGCTCCTGTCATCGACAAATATTTCACCTGATGTGGAGAAATTATCAAACAATAAGCAGAAACAAGTGTCTCATTCAAGTATTTGCCATTTCTAACTGGATTTCATTTGTAGTAAGGAATTTGCATTTTTTTTTGTTTTCCTGTTGTTCCTGCAGTAAAATAAGGAACTTTGTTTAAATAATTATAATATTAACTTTGTTGTTTCTTCTTTAAACCCTCAGACCAAAGCAGCTTTCTGGACGGAGAGATCTGAGGGTGAGACAATTTATTATGGTACATTTGATATCATGGCTCTCTACTGTGACTTTGCTTTCTGTCTCGTTCTCCCTCGAGGGTTGCCGACCGCTTATTTATATAAATGATCCATTATTGGGAATAATTAGGTTACAATAACATTTCTATTTTATATGAATGCTACCTATATAAAAACTGTGATGAAGTTGTGGTGGGTCCCGTACCATAGGTTGTTTTTTTAGGGGGGGGGCATGAAAACTTTGCATCGGTCTCGGAGAGAGGAGTAAAATATTGCAAAGAAGAGAGAGAGAGAGAGAGACGAAGTGAATTATTATTATTTGAGTAAAGCGTGAGAAAAAAAAGAGGAAAAAAAATAAAAGAAGAGAGATAAAAAAACGGTGAAAAGAAGAGAGAGAGAGAGAGAGAGAGAGAGAGAAGGTGAGTGAGAGGCAAATAAATATTATGTGAGTAAAAAGAGAGGGTGGAAGAGAACACGAGAAAAGGGACATAGAACAAAGGAGGAGGAGTAGAGAAATAAACATTATATGAGCAAAGAGGGAGAAGGAAAAAAGAAGAAAAAGAGGAACAAAACACCGAGGATAGAACGAAAGAGAGAGAGAGAGAGAGAGAGAGAGAGAGAGAGAGAGATGGAAGTAAACATTGCGTGAGTACAAAGAGACCAGGAAAAAGAGAAACAATTAGAAAATAAGAGAACAACAGCATGAAAAGAGAGAGAGAGGGGGGATGTCTTAAGAAGGAAGAAGAAAAGAATGATAAAAAGTAGTGAGAAGCAAAACTGAGAGAGAAATGGAATTAAACTTTATGCCAAAAATAAAGAGAGAAGGCAAAGAAGGAAGAAAACAAGAAGAAAGAAGGAATCCTTGAATGAGAAGAAAGAAAATGAAAAACAGTATTAATTCGTATTGTATTCATTTCTATGCTTGGTCGGCTCATCAGGTTTTTGTGGCCTAGCATATGTGCTAATTCCTTAAGTTTACAAATTTTTTAATGGTGTTCTTTGTCTATGATCTCAACCTGATCCCACAAAGGGCGGTGATTTCGCTTTTCTCGCCATATATAGTCAACCACGCCTGATTTTTCATTTTCTCCTCGTGTTATTTATTTCCCCTCTCCAAGTTCTCCACTGCCTTAACCAGGTATTGAACTCACACTCTTTGTGTCCTGTCAGTGGATCTAACTAACGCCTTTATCAATTGTGTCATGTGTCCTTGAGGACATCTGTGTATGAATTTCTGGGTATTATAAACCTAATGTCATCAGCAACCATTTTTACCAGTGGTCATATTTCATGTTTTTACCAGAGCTCATACTACATGTTTTTGTCAGAGCTCATATTGCAATTTTTATTGTTATTATCGCTTTTCTCTGACACTCCTTATTACTGATTCCCATATTGTATTCATTTCTATGCTTGGTCGGCTCAGGAGATTTTTGTGGCCTAGCACATGTGCTGATTTCTTAAGTTTACGAATTTTACAATGGTGTTCTTTGTCTTTGATCTCAACCTGATCCCACGAAAGGCGTACATATTAATAATTGAAATTATTTGGGCGATATTATCTTCAGCCTGCTTTATTCCCTTCCCCGTCTTGTTTCTGGAAAAAAAGAAAAGAAAATATTAAGCACCCTTTCCTAATGTAATATGGATCAGGTTGTCTTTGAAAATATTTCAGCTCATTGGATCAGGTCATCTCAGGGTAATGGATAGCCTGCAGGTCTGTCTATGGGAAATTATTTTGTATCGGAACAACTTGAGATAAAAAGATACACGGTAAGATTTACCTTTTTCTCATGTGACTAAACATCATTTCATTTTACATGGATGACTCATACTTCCTCTCTATCGACGCTTTGAAGCACCCTCTTCTTTTTCTGTCTTCTTTTCGACTCTCCCTTTCACTTCTCAATTTTCTTTTTGAGACTCTCCCTTTCATTTATTTTTTTAAAACTCTCCTTTTCACTATCTGTCTATAATTCTGAGATAAGGTATTGTAACTATTTACACTATTTACATCTTTCGGGAGTGTTGTCCTCATCTTTAATGGCATATTCACGAGGTTTCGGCCGTTGTACGCTCTGGCGTTATTCAGGATCTGTCTATATTTCTGTGATGAGGGTATTGTAACAATTTACAATGTTGGAATAAAATGACCCTTTTGGGAAGAGAAAAATAAGGAGTTAATACTGATAAACAATAGATAGATAGATAGATAGATAGATAGATAGATAGATATGAACAAAGCAAGTAGATAGATAGATAGATAGATAGATAGATAGATAGATAGATAGATAGATATGAACAATAAGCAGAAACATGTGACTCATTGAAGAATTTGCCATTTCTAACTGTATTTCGTTTGTAGTAAGGAATTTGCATTTTTGTTAATTGTTTTCCTGTTGTTCCTGCAGTAAAATAAGGAACTTCGTTTAAATAATTATAATATTAAAACAGCCTTCTGGATGGAGCGATGAGAGGGTGAGACAATTTATTATGGTACATTTGATATCATGGCCCTTCACTGAGAGGTTGTATAGCTTTCTGGCCTGTTCTCTCCAAAAGGTTGCTAAACCCTGGTCTAAAAGTACTTCATCAGACTAAAGTAATGGTCTTATTAAGAAATAAGTTTTGCCAAGCAGAAAATATAAAAGCCTATTGAATAATGTAAAAATGATGGTATCATTACTTTGGAAGTCCATATGCTTATGAAAATTTTTTTGAAACTGAAATATACTAAAAGTCATTTATGAACAAGGTTAGATGATTATAATTTTTGCTTTTGTCATCAACAAATATTTCATTTGATGTGGAGGAGTTATCGAAGAATAAGCAAAAACAAATGCCAAATTAAATAATTTGTCATTTTTCGTTTGTAGTAAGAAATTTGCATTTTTGTTGATTATGTTAGTTGCGATCCAGTTATTCCTGCAGTAAAATAAGAAACTTTGTTTAAATAATATAACATTAAGTTCGTTGTTTTTTCTTTAAACCTCCAGAACAAGGCCGCCTTCTGGATGGAGCGATGAGAGGGTGAGACAATTTATTAAGGTACATTTGATATAATGGTCCTCCTTTGAAATATTGCATAGCTTTCTGGTCTGTTCTCTCCAAAAGATTGCTAACCCCTGGTCTAGGCAGTAGGAACAGAGTAGAAAATAACTGTTAAACTTGTGGCTGGTCGTGTATGGAGTTCATACTTCGGTGACAAATAGCTTGGCCTTGAAATGTTTTCATAGCACGTGGTTAATATGCATATCCAGGGCCGGCGTTAGGCTCTCGGGGACCTCCCTCTCGACTACATGGCGATTTCAATGTTTCCTAACCTTGGAGCCACAAACCAACGAAGGAAAAGTGGGAGGGAAGAGCAGCGTTTTTTTAAATAACCAAAAATCGGGAAAGTATTCAATTTAAATGAAAATTTCAGTACGTATTCATTAAATATTTATTTTTATAATGAATAGTCTTTATTTTTATTTTAAAAAACTCTGAGAAAATGTTATTCTTTTTGTAATAACCACCAATATTTTCATGACTAAATTTTACCTGTAAAAAATGTTTAAGTCGCAGTTTTTTTTACATTTCCATAAAGATTATCACCGACGCATCTCTGCTGAAAAAGTAAGTTTTACAAAAATTCCAACACAACACAAACGGGATTGTCTTAAAAATTTATTTTAAAAACAGTATTTCAGTTTTCGGGAAAATGTTTCATGTGTTGAAATCTTTAAATATTTTTATGTTTTAAGCGATCATTTTCTCGGTTTCATCTTTCTCGAAATATAAAATATAGGAACTAGAAATTTTATTTTAATTACTACTAGCCGTGCGATTATGGTTAGTAGTACTATTAGTGAAAAAAAAAAATCTGAGATCCTTCTAAGTGGATGATCTCGGAATAAAAAATGATTTTACCGAAATATACTACACCCTTAATTGATTTAAAAGAACTGCCCAGATAGAAAATTACAGTTTAAAAAAAAATAAGCTCTATTGAAATTAGCACTTCGGCCCCCGCTTACTCAGTAGATATGGGACCCCCGTGGGGTTGAGAGGTTTGGAATAGTAAGCACCAGACTTGACGATTATTATAGTTGACGATTGAAATATCACTTAGGCAGAAAAAAGTAATATGTCCAAAAAGCAAAAAAAAAAAAAAAAAAAAAATCCGGTGCTAAAACTAGACCCTTTGGGGCTAGAAACCATGTCAGGGATCCCTGCGTAGTAACGCACTTCACCGGCCATGCAGATACACGATGTATATTATTAGTTGATGATTGACAATGTGTTATACCGGAACATACCTATTCTATTGTTAATAGACTCTCCCACAGATAATAAGTAGTTGTAGTAGTAGTAGTAGCAGTCGAAAGGGGGCTGAGTGGAGTTGGTCGAGTCAGTCGATGTCGGACATTAAAGTATCAACCACCACAACTAGATTGCTGCGTCGTTAACTATTATTTCAAGTTTCAAAGAATTTTAAAAAGATTTGTAGGAATTTTCCCGGTTATGCGCGCTCGTGTGTTTGTGTGTGTCTGTGTCTGTGTGTCTGTGTGTGTCCGTGTGTCTGTGTGTGTCTATGTCTGTGCGTCTGTGTGTGTCTGTGTGTCTGTGTGTGTCTGTGTGTCTGTGTGTGTCTGTGTATGTGTGTGTCTGTGTGTGTCTGTGTATGTTCGGCAGTGTGTAGAGTAGAATGAACAAACCCAAGTAATAACTATTTAACAGCTTTTGTTTGTGGTCGAAAAGAGAGTGAAAAATAGTCGTATTATGAAGGAAAAATAGATGAGTTTCCCAGTTAACAAGGTTCTTTCCTTGAGTAGATGTTTCGTAAAGAGAAAGATTTCTCCATTTGTCCCCATGAAGAGCGAGAAATCTGATTATCAAACTGCTCGGACTAATACGCGTCTTCTGCAGCAAGAGCTGTGAGTAGTTCTGCGGATAGGTGTCTCGAGGGGAGATTTCTCCGCTTGTTCACACGAGGAACGCGAAATCTGTGTGTCATATCGCTAGGACTTGTACGTGTCTTCTGCATCAAGGGCTGTAAGTAGAGGCTTCAGGTAAGCGTCTCGAAGGGAGATTTCTCCACTTGTTCCCACGAAGAACGAGAAATCTCAGATCAAGCTGCCAGGACAGTCCAGCTGTCTTCTGCAGCAAGGGTTGTGAGTGTTCCTTCGAGCTGGGACTTGAGGATAGCAGCCATTAAAAAGGAATGAGTGGGGAAGTGACCGAATAGGGATCGCTCAGCGTCTTTATGACACCTGGGACTTCCGGTTGTTCCCTGCTGATTACTTCCATTGCTGCTGCTGCTGAATAACCAACATAGTTATTATAGATTTTATAAATTTGAACTGACAGTAGCATTGTCTGCTTCGCCAATGAGTACCGAATGTTTCCTTATAAGGAAACAGATAATATTACACTTACCATTATTATTCATTGCCAGAGATTTCTATTTTACAAATTTGGGGTGGAAAATTTAGTTGCCATCTTCGTTATGCAAATTTTATTTCATCGAATTCAAATTAATCAAAAATACTTGTTTTTATTCAGCTTTATAAAATTTAAAAATATTTAGAAATAAATAAAAAATAATATAAAAATAAAATAAAATAAAATATTTAAAAAATTTTGGAACTCATTGCTTAATAGTAATGGTCAACTAGAGTAACTCGTTAACCATTACCTCACCGAAGACGATTTGATTTGTTGGTTGTGCAGGCATAGAAGTTGTTTGTTTAGTTGTTGGAAATTTAATCAGGTTCGTTGGTTGGTTGGTTTTGTTTAACGGCATATCATCCTCTATGGGTTATTTAATGCCGAAATCTAAATATTTTGAACGCAATTTTATGGCTTCAAATACAGATATTTTGTACATAATTTTGTTTTCAGTGTAAAAGTATGTCTTTTTAGATATATAGTTTGTAGATGATAAAATATATTGTTGGTAATAAAAAAGTACTTTTGTTGGCAGAGGTCACTATTTGCTCATAGATGGAACCCTAGCCATAGCCCTAACCTTGACCACTCCGGGTCAGAGTGGACCTAGGAACAAAACTATTTAAGTTTCATGGTCCTCAAAACCTCCAATCTCCAATTCACAGGGCTTACTGCCGGGTGCAGTTTATCATCATACCCCGGACGGAAATTAGAACAGTTATTATCCTTGGATGAACTGAGTAGTTAACAGGAAGGGAATAAAAAAAGATTAGTGAAGGAAGTGTAGAACGGACGGACGGAGGAAAGGAAAGAATGAAAAGGCAGACGATCGTCTGCCTTTTCATTCTTTCCTTTCCTCCGGAAGAATCAAACGCGAGGAAGGGAAAAAGATGACAAAGTGTAGGTGCGATAAACGAATAACGAGAAGATAATAGAAGAAAAGAAAAAGGAAAGGAAGAAAGTGCAGATAGATTTGTAGGTGATAGAAAGAAAGTAAGTCAAAAAGAAAGAAAGAACGAAAGAAAGAATAGGCAAGTGATTGAAAAAGTAAAAATAAAGAAAGAAAGAAAGTAAAAGAGAAGAAAATAGAAATAAAAAAGGAAAGGAAGAACGATCAGATAGCTGTGTAGGCGCGATGAAGAAGAAAGAAAGAAAGAAAGAAAGAAAGAAAGAAAGAAAGAAAGAAAGAAAGGTAAGATAACTGTGTAGGTTTGATAAGAAAGAAAGAAAGAAAGAAAGAAAGAAAGAAAGAAAGAAAGAAAGAAAAAGGAAAGGAAGAAAGGTAAGATTACTGTAGGTTTGATAACAAAGAAAGAAAAAAGAAAGAAAGAAAGAAAGAAAGAAAGAAAGAAAGAAAGAAAGAAAGGCAAGATAACTGTGTAGGTTTGATAAAACAGAAAAGAAAGAAAGAAAGAAAGAAAGAAAGAAAGAAAGAAAGAAAGAAAGAAAGAAAAAGGAAAGGAAGAAAGGTAAGATTACTGTAGGTTTGATAACAAAGAAAGAAAGAAAGAAAGAAAGAAAGAAAGAAAGGTAAGATAACTGTGTAGGTTTGAGAAAACAGAAAGAAAGAAAAAAGTAGAAAAATAGGCAAGGGGTTGATGATTGAAAAAAAAAAGGGTGAAGGAAATAGAAAGAAAATGAAAATGAAAACAGAAGAAATATTAAAGCGTATAGGAAAGTGATAGGAAAAGAACAAAAAGGAAAGTGGGTTGTTTACACAAACGCAAAACAAAATACAAAAAGTAAAATAGAAAAAAAAGAAAAGAAAGACAGACAGATTTGAGAGCAGAAAGATCAGCAGAATGACATCCATTTTGTTTCTGTCACTTTGCTGCGTTACTGCTCATTGATTTATCGAGAGAGCCACTCTCTGTTCCAGGTTAATTCTTATCGAGAACGTCGAATTAGAAAAAATTATGACTCCGGTCTGTATCTTAAATCATTTTCTTGTCTCTTTCAAAGATAAATTGTTCATAATCAAACAGAGTGGAACTCGTTCGACCGACTGATTAATGGACGATTGTCAAATATTGACTGTATGCACACAGAGATTTAGAGTATGCAGATAACATCGTGTTGATGGCAGACACAGAAAGAAAACTACAGGAACTCCTAAACAAGGTTGAAAAGAAAAGCAAGAAGAAAGGACTAACCACAAATTATAAGAAGTCAGTAGATACGCCCTTGTGTAAATTAATTGAAACAAAACAAATAATTCCGTTATTTTTTTTTTTCGTATTTTCCCAATGAAACATGACCCAGTGCACATGTCGGTACTTCATATGTCCATTCCATGAAGTCGTTCCTTGCAGATTGACCACAGATTCTCGATTGGATTTAAACCAGGAGAGTTTCTGTGCTAGTACTTTGATTTGCTCACTGGTAACGATTGCCAATGTATTCGTGCAGCGTTACAATTTTCGTATGCTTCCTTGGAGTAACATCCATCACAGACAATGGCCGTAGGACAACTAATCGACAGTCGAGACAATATTGATATTGACTGTATGCACACAGAGATTTAGAGTATGCAGATGTTGATGCAGAGTTGATGGCAGACACAGAAAGAAAACTACAGGGACTCCTAAACAAGGTTGAAACGAAAAGCAAGAAGAAAGGACTCATCACAAATTATAAGAAGTGAGTAATAGAATTGTTAACAAGAGGTACAACCCAAGATTTGAAAGAGATACAAAACAGATATAAAAATCCAGCCTTTCTTTTTCACTTCCAGCAATCCCTTGCGTCTTAATGGTACTATCGCCTTGCTTGAGGTGAGTTGATTAGAAAAATGTACAGAAATTAAATAATCTAGGAAGTGTTTTAGCAGGCAAAAGAAAATTCAACACGAATGAAGCTTTTCAGAAGCTAAACAGAGTATTAATAAGCAGGAAAATTTGGTTAGGTTGGTGGATTCGTTTTTTACGGCTTCAGTCAGTCAGTTATGTGCTATACGTGATACAAGCTTAGGCGATCATATATCTTTCGGTACATGACTGATGAAGCAGATTTTTTCCCGCAGTAGGTTGCCATTTCTTTCTGCGGTAGACCTTTTGCCATCTAAAGCTACATAACTCGGTCTGTCCTGCTACTTACCCCTAGCTGGCGGGAGAAGAAGAGGATTCATACTTTTCCCAAGAGTATTAGAACCTAAGTGAATATCAGTCAGTTATGTGTCATGGATGATACATGCTTAAGCGATCATGTATCTTTCGACACATGACTGACGAGGCAGATTTTTTCCCGCGGTAGGTTGCCATTTCTTTCTGCGGTAGACCAGTTGCTATCCAAGGCTATAGACCTTGGTCTGTCGTGCTATTTACCTATAGCTGGGAAGGGGGAGAAGAATTGGATTCGTACCTTTCCCAAGGGTATTAGCACGTAAGTGAATATAATGGATTTGATTGGAATTCAAACTCGGCTTTCTGAGCCGTTATCCATTACCCCACAGGACCTTTTGTTATATTGTAAGATTTTTTTAGTATCTGTCCTCAAGGATACATGGCACAGTGGATAAAGGCGTTGGTTAGATCCAGTGACAGGACCCAAACAGTGGGAGTTCAATACCTGGTTATGGCGTTGGAGAACTTGGAGAGGGGAATTAACAGGAGATAACTGATAACTGACGTCCATTAAACATGGCACGTGGAACTAGAACAGGCTACCCCAGTGAGCGAAATAAAGGCTTCAGTTCGACATTCCAACCATCTGAAGAAGGCCGGAGCGTACAACGGCCAAAACGTTGTAATAAATATGGCGACAAAGATGAGGACAATAGTCCGAATAATGTAAATAGTGAAGATTTTTTTCTTTTGCGATAATAATGGTTAGTGATACAAATCTTACTAATTAACCTATAGCTGGGGGAGAGAAGAAGGGGATTCATACCTTTCGCAAGGGTATTTGCGCGTAAATGAATATAAACCAACCCAACGGAAATTGGAACTTGGCTCTCCGATTAATAATTCTGAGCCATTATCCATTTGCACCATCCGTACATCCAAGCTTCCAGGAAAATGTTATTCTCAAACAGTCACCCCTCTAGATACTGACAATGCTCGACGTTGCTTAACTTCGGCGATGTTCTGAACTACTTCTATATGACACTAAAATCTGAATAATGTCTGTATAGATGGAGAGAAGACAATAGAAATGTGGTTCAACAGCAGGATGTTGAGAATGCCATGAACTGTACATATGAGTAACGAGGAAGTTTGTTTTTTTTTTAAAAAAAGAAGAAATAAAAACAAGACATTTTCGGATTAAAATCAGAAAGAGACAGTTAAAATTTCTCGAAACAACATTTGAAACTCGGAGAATTTGACATTCACACGATGTAGTGAAAACAAGATAGGGGGGGAACAACGAGTAACTTACATAAGGACTTGTATAAATAGATGACAGTAAATAAAATAAAGGGAATATTAAAGCGACAAAAAAGAATTACGAAGGATAGGAAGTTGTGAAGAGCCATGATCGCCGATGGCCTGAAGAGACATGGATACATGATATAAGAATTATTACCAGCATGTTCGAATCTGAATGAGGTTAAAATGTTTACTTAGATCCGATGGTCTTGGGAAAGGCTTCCTCTAAGCCATATCCCATCCATTACTTTCTAGATTGTTTAATTTCTGTACGTTTTTCTAATCAATTCACTTCAAGCAAGGCGATATTGCCATTAAGACGCAAGGGACTGCTGGAAGTGAAAAAGAAAGGCTGTTTTTTTTATATCTGTTTTGTATCTCTTTCAAATCTGGCGGTAGGGTTGGAAATACCCAGGAGACTTCACCTGCATTGAGCAACGATAAGGTCTTAGAGAGGTTGCAAACAGGAAGAGGCAGCTGAAGTTTCTGCGAGACATAATGAGGAAGGAAGGCCTGGAGAATCTGATACTCACAGGTTGAATAGAGGGAAAGAGAGACAAGGGAAAGCAACGCATGACATAACCTGGCGGACTTAAGCAAGTGGTTGACAGAACGTGGTTTGGAAGAGGAAGCAGAGGGAAGGAACTTGTTGAGAGCCGCAAGGAATAGAGGGAGATGGAGAGCCATGATCGCCTACGTCCTAAAAGGACATAGCATATGAAAAGAAAGGTGGTTGTTCGAATTTGAATGCGATTAAAATGTTTACTTAGATCTGATGGTCTTGGGAAAAGCTTTCTTTGAGCCATATTCCATCCATTAGTTCTACACTGGCGGTAGGGTTGTAAATATCCAGGAAGCTTCTCCTGCAGAGGGACAAAACCCAAAGCAATAAAGAGACACCTAGCAAGCAAATGCTTATAGACACAATAAGTAAATGCTTATTCACCCAAATATGAACAACCAATAGTTATAAGCCCCCGAACCAAGTAAATGCCTATTGACTCGAATATAAACGACTAACATTTATCTATCACAGAACCAAGTAATTGCATATTGATTCAAATATGAACATCCAATATATACCAATCCTAAAACCAGGGCCGGTGCTAGTGCCCCACTCACCAAACTTTGACATGGATTCCTCTATCTACTACATGTTGATTTCAAAGTTTCCCAACCTGGGGGCCACAAATCTTCGAAAGAAAATTGGGGGGAAAAGGGCAGTTAATTCCCCTCTGAAAGTTCTCCACTGCCTTAACCGGGTATTGAACTCACACGCTTTGGGTCTTGTCACTGGATCTAACCACCGCCTTTATCCACTGTGCCATGTGTCCTTGAATTAACAGGAGATAACTGATAACTGACATCCATCAAACATAGCACGTGGAACTAGATCAGTCTACCCCAGTGATCTAAATAAAAGGATTCAGTTCAACATTCCAACCTCCTGAAGAAGGCCGGTGCGTACAACAGCCGAAACGTTGTAATAAATATGTCCACGAAGATGAGGACAATAGTCCGAATAATGTAAATAGTGTACATAATACCTCATCTCAGAAATATACACAGATACTGAAGGATCGGATAAATATGGCAACAAAGATGAGGACAATAGTCCAAATAATGCAAATAGTGTACATAATACCTCATCTCAGAAATATACACAGATACTGAAGCAGTTCTTAGCCGTTTAACATCCCGCCTTGTTTTGTTTGACGAAGCCCAACCCTCTTTAGACTAGTTAATAATTATATTAGGAATGAAAAGACAAATTATATTTTTGTAAGTCAAAATTTATGGAATCAGTTGTCTGCCCTTGGAGCTTTCTTTCTTTCTTTCTTTCTTTCTTTCTTTCTCTTTCTTTTTTTTCTCTTTTTTATTCAATATGTTCTAGAAATATTGTAGTTATGATTCCGACCAAAATTCATGACGTTACTAAACAGTATAAATATTATTGCGCATGAAATATCTACCGTTCTATCATCTGTAAATGGCGGTAAAAATGTCGGATACATCAAAGTCGCCGCGGGATGTAACGTCAATTAAATCAAGCAAACGGATGGCTACACATCTAACAACTTATGAACTTTTCCATCTTTTCGTTCGCCCTTCCTAGAAATCTAGTTTGGAAACTTGCAAGTCTCTTCTCTATGGATTTTTCGTTTTTTTTTTTTTTTTTTTTTTTTTTATATTTCAGTTCGTAAATGCATGACTCCAAGTTGCAGTTTTCTTTAGGAGAGATTTTTCTTGGTAAACATGTTAACGGGGTGCTTGGGAAAAAAAATTAACACTCCAAGGCCCACATTAGGCATTATTATATCCATGATATATTAACAGCCTAATATAACGGAAGAAAGGACGAGAAAGCTTGAAAGAAATTAATTAAAAAAAATAAGTTTTGGAATTAATTTAATCTATCTATCTATCTATCTATTTATCTATCTATCCATATATATATATATATATATATATATATATATATATATGTATAAATTCCCAGGAGGATAGAAACCAGGTAGAACTCAATGCCCAGGACAGAGTAAGAATATAATATAAAAGGCTCAAACACTAATATTCCATGGTTATAATTTATTACATTGGAATCGTAATCACGATCCAATTCATCAGGCCTACAAATTTGTAGGTCTGATGAATAAATTATAACCATGGAATATTAGTGTTTGAGATTTTTATATATATATATATATATATATATATATATATATATATATTTAAACACATTATTTTTTTTATCATGAGCCGTTGTAAACTCTGTATATTTGCTTTAATTGCGGTTGAAAATAAAGACAAAAATTCTCCAACATTTGGATATTTTATCATGCTGTTCCTTGATCTAAGCTTTCGGATCACACGAGCCATCTTCAGGGTGGTTATGCGGACATTTAAACAAAGATATTCACTATCAAAGAAATTCTGTTGTGCTGACATAGAAGATTGCTATGCGACGATAACGGTCCCGGAATAGCTTAGATCAAGGACCAGGTTCATAACAAAATATCCAAATGTTGGAATATAAAATCTTGCATTTCAAGGTCTGATGAATTGAAGCCGTTTTTACGACCCTAATGAAATAAATATAACCTCATGTAATTTTAGTGCTTGTGCCTTTTATGATATATATATATATACAAATGGTACGAAGAAAAGATGGAGTAAAATTAGATTTACTTTTAAAAAAGTGCTCAATACAAAGTAGAGCAATGTATTTTTATTATTTTTATTATAAGAGATTATAATAAAAACATGTTGAAATCGCTACACAAAACTTTCATGTTTCAATACCATAATTGTACTTCTTCAGTACAATCATAGTATTGAAACATGAAAGCTTTTTTGTGTATGATTTCAACATGTTTTTATTATAATTCCTATAATAAAATAAAATAATATATATATATATTTATTATTAATATATATATATATATATATATATATATATATATATATATATATATATATATATATATATGCACATACACACATATATGTTTACAAATGCGCGCACACAAACACATGCACAAGTGTGTCTGTACCTTGGTAATTAATATATTATTTAGTACTTAAATGGCAAAGTGATTATTTCAAAAATCTTAGGGTATTACTTATGGGTGGTTTGGCTTATGGAGTATTTTCTTTGTTGTTTGGATATATGAATATACATAGAGTCTATAATGTACACCCTCACTCATACACATGCACCCACACACAGAAACCTGCGCACACACATGCACATACATATCTACATAAAAGTCAATGAAAGATATATACAAAACACACACGAAATATGGTTTAATGAAAAATGAAACCAAACCAAAATTTTTTAAAACATCCTGCTGCGTCTCATTAACTTTTACACACTTTAGTATCCAGAATGTTTCTCATACACATTTGAATATTATCTGTTACTTCATTGCATGTGACACGTACCTAACCAATAAAAAAAATAACTAAACACAACATAGTATTAATTTCCGTCTCTTTGTTTTTAATCATTTTATCTTGATCTCTGACGAAGCTTTAATAAATTGAAACATGTTAGATTGAGATCTTTTTCCTACTTGTTCTTTATCCTATCATATATATATATATATATATGTGTGTGTGTGTGTGTGTGTGTATGTGTGTGTGTGTTTGTGTGTGTGTGCGCGCGTCTTTTTTGATAGTGTTTAGGTAGTAAATTAAATATTTCCTTGTATGTTATCATTTATCTGTTTCATTTTTGTTTAATAGCTAATAGTTTATTTGTTTTTTATTTTTGCCTTGGTGCTATTTTAAATATTGAAATATTAATTATGGAAGCTTAGGTTTGTAGTTGTTTATATGTGTGTCTGTGTATATATTTATAGAGAGAGACTCACACACATACGTACGTGTATATAGGTGTATATTTAATATTTGTTCGTTTATATTATTTGTTTTATTTCTTTGTTTAATTTTGTTTATTTATTTTATGTTTTTTATTTATATTTAGATTTTATCTTTATTTTTCTTTATTGTATGTTTATATTTTATTTCTTTATTTTTAATTTATATTTATTTGTTTCAGTTAACAAAGTATGTTGGCAAAGTAAGTATGTATTCATATGCCTACAATTACCCATTATTTCAGGGGGTTTTTAAGAGTTTATTTTGCTTTCTAAAACTAATTATTGCTAATTTTTCCTCTAAACACAGTTTACAGTTTTTACGGTTAATACTGTTTGGAGCTGATTTCTCCTTTGATTTTGATGGGTATATTTTTAGGTCCATATGTATTTTGATAGGATTGTAATCTTTGTCTTTTTTTCCTCTCAAAGGACATTTTGTAGATATCATATATTACTTTTAGAGTTTTTTTTTTTTCTGTAGCACCTGTATAAATGTTTTGTGTTAATGGTTTTAGTTATGGTAGCTTTGTACATTATGTTATTGATTAAACATTTATTGTTAAGTGGGCAATTTTCTTTGTTTCTGCAATTACATTTGATGGTGTCATTTTGCTGGATGTTATTGTATATTTTTGTTGTAATTGTTATTAGTTGTGTTGAGTATTTTTTATTGTGCATAGTTATTATTTTCTCCATATTATCCATAGTTTGGTAAGATTTGTTGTTTTTAGGGAAGTGTTTGTCAGTTTGAAGAATATTTTGCCTATTTTTGTTTTTATTATATTGTTGGTAGTGGGGTTGAACAAAATTATATTTCGCTTTCTGTTGTTTTAGTTTGAATTGTTTTCGTTTTTATATTTTAGTTTGTATGAATATTCACTATTTCTAAGTGCTGATTTATATGTGATTTTTTGTTGTTTTCATTGAGTATTTTAAACTGCTAGTATTTGTTGAAATTCTTTTATTTATAGAGATGGGTATTTGTTTGAATACAGTAGGTTGGAATTTTTGTTGTTGTTGGAAGAAGATCTTGAGGTAGTTGTCGACAATACAAATGTCAAAGCAAATGAAAATCAGAGGGAGCCAAGACAGAAGAATACAGTGGGTGCTGTAGGGTGGGGTCCCATTTCAATTCTATATGTGATCGTGAATTGTCGTGGTGGAAAATAACACCTTTTCGATTTGCCAAAATCGGACGATTTTCTTGAACCCAAATCTTTTCAAATGGCAATTTCAAACTATTAGCAATCACTCATGTCGAAATCTTTAGTTTAGTGGGGCCTTTTCATCTTTATTGGAAGATCATCAGAGTGTGGTTTATCGTTTGAGTTAAAAGTCACCGCCCCTGACAAAATCTACCAGACCAATTTATGGCCGTCCGGAGAGCTGAAGCATGATCAGAAAAAAAAAAAAAAGATCTGAATGTCTTTTTGTTGCTGTTCAGAAGCTCAGTATATTCCAAAATTTATAGAACAAAATAAGGTGAACAAGCGACTTTTCATCCTCCATCTTTGAGGCATTTTTGAGGACAAAACATGAACATTAAAAACAATCTGTTCAAATATAACACACACACACACGCTATATATATATATATATATATATATATATATATAGAACAGACTAGCAATCATCGCCAAAACAAACGCCAGTGTCAAGATTCATTGTCAGTGTCATTTTATATTAACAATGAAAATCAGGTGCAAAATTTTGCAATGATCTGATAGATATGAAGAAACTGACAAAGGTGTGTTATATATATATATATATATATTATTATTGTTATACGTTGTTTATATAGGCACAAATATTTAAGTAAATGCTCTGTTTATAATTGATATGTCCTGGAAAGGGATATATTTGTTCGAAGTATCAAAGTGGTTGTTGACTACTGTATCCAGGTAAGACAATCTAGCAGGTAACTATAATGGACCAGTCCTCGTCGTAGTGGTAGGCAATAGGCGAAGACAATAGGCGAAGTCCATGTACCTCCACATCAGTCTGTATTTATGGCTGACACCAGCCAATCATATTATTGTGAGGGGGAACCCAGGTGTATGCATATTCATTGCATCAAGTTGCCACTCATGGCCAGAGTTCCTAGTTAACTGGGTTATGTAACCCATAGCTAGTAACAGGGGAGGCAGATTATTGTTTTTTCCCAAGGGCATTAGAGCGAAAGTGAATGCAACAAACAAACTTGTGATTTGAACTCAGCTTTCCGTACTGATATATGCAACCCTACCCATAGACAGGATATAATTACAAATAAATATTATCCAACCAGTAGACATCATGAGAAACATTCCCTTTCTCAGCAGATGTTTTATGCCATAATTTCACTGGAAACCAAGGCAGTCTGTAGTATTATAAAGAAACAGATGAACGAAAATTATAAACAGGATAAAAACAGAATTAAGAATATTATTAAAAAAATGCATAACACCAATAGCAAAATATTGGAT